CACGCGTGCACACACGAGCAACCCGTCCCTAAGAACTGAAAAAAATGGGGAGAACGGTACCGAGGTTAAGACGGGGGTTGGATCAACACCATCACCGTCGCGACGAATTACCTCCGATTTCAAATGCTTACGTGCTAATTTAACGGTTCTCAAACGACCAATCGATTAACTGGAACCGGATACTGCGCTCTATGTAACGATGCACACGCGTGTACGCGCGTTTACGGAAACGTCCTGTCGGTTGATCCGTAATGGCGGGTACACGCAACGTCGTCTCTACATGGTAGGCGTAACGTAGCCAGTACGACGCCTGTTGGGCTGTTAACACATAATCGCGTAACGCACTATGGTTGAGCTACTGTCGGCAGTCCCTACGTTACGGAACCGTCCACCCTATGTGTGTATACGTGGATCGCGACCTACAGAAAAGGGTCGTCGGATACACCTGTACACGTGTCACGGTGCATGCAGATACGCGTGGGTTGCATAAGTGCAGGCGCACGGCGCGTGCGTGCACGTGCACGTGTACAGTCTTTTAATTCGAATTCGTTAAATACATCTATGAACTTGTCCGCGGCACCCGAGTGCTGCGTACACCTGGCTCTAGCAGCCGACCTGGTGGAGCATCGAGGCGAGTCGGAACACACGCATCCAGGCGAACATCCCCGTGGACGGCGAACGACAGATGTTCCTCGTCGTCGAACCCGAGGAATTCTTGCAGTCCGTCGACGTCGAACGACGACGAGCCACACGATTCGGCGACGCGTCGATCGAGCAAACGTCGCTCTCCGACTTCCTTTCCTTTTGCTGCTGCTGCTGCGGCGAGTACTTCATCACTGAATCATCGGAACAATTAATCAAGCTAGCTTTCCCTTATTATTTACCGGATAATTTGATACTACGGTGACATAACTATGGGAATTGCCGCGGTACCTGACATTCTACGGTTTACGGACGCGGAAGCCAAGGATAGCGTTCCATTATGTTGCAAGGAAAAGAATAATTGTGCCTTGTAATTAACTCGATGTTACTTTCCTTGTGTGATTTACCTTTTCGAACGCGCCACGAGATCGGCTCTTAAAGAGACAAGTCTACCTTGTTTTTCCTCGAACTCGAATGATGTCACTGTCATGTAGTGACTGATGTCACCGAGCTATTATTTACTGTTGCTAAATATATGCATGGAGCTCGGAATATACTTTCTGATTTAGTCGGTTCTTTCTTTCGGTTACCGATCTTGTGGCGTACCTATTTGTATGTCATGCAATATAAATTCGATTAGGTTGTTTCGCGGTGGTCAAATTCGAAAGTTGTAACATTTTATCAAGTTTTTTATATCAAGTGCTGCTTTTTCAAAGCTCCTTCCTCGAGATTGTATGGTAAATCATCTAATTTTTAATTCAACTTATATTCTATAGTCCTTTAATTTCTTTTAAGAAAACACAGGAAATTTTATATTAAAAAACGTATCTATAACAAATGTTCATTATTACATTCAGTTGAATTTCAAAGAAATTTGATAACATATGATACAACTACTTCAGATATTTTCTCTATGCAGCAGGAATTGTGATAAACAGCACTTCCAGATTTAAGCTAAATGTTATCTGCATTCTTATCACAGTTGCATCCTGCAGCAAATTTTTAGGGAGACCTGATACGGCGGTCGAGCGAATTTATGTTACAATCATATTTGTTCGATAAAGAATTTATTTCCTCGCAACTCTTACATGAGCTTCGCCGATAAGAGTCCAGATATTGATACTTTTGTTTTGAAAGAATGAAAGATCATTTGTAAGACAGCTTCTGAAAATGTACAGACTGATAAATGGACCAAATTTCATGTGCTTCGTTTTTTAAATGTCTCGGATTTAATTCTCAAAATAATTTATTATCATACAAGTAAATATTAATTTATTATTTACAACAAAAAATACTCGTGTTCGAACATTATTTATTTTCAAGTATCGTTTGTATTTTTAAGTAGAAACATCTTTATTTTCGAATAAATGAAAGAAACTGTTCGTCGGGTTTTATATCTGATAAATATTCTGACGGACTAGCAAGAATTGAACTCAATGGTATACTAACGATTTTACAATTACAGAACACAAGCCAGCATAGTATGGTTAAGTAATAAGATTTTCCCGTATGTCACTGCACTACTTTTTTTCTCACGACGAACAGCGAAACTCCTTTCACCGGCAAATCCTCTTTTGTTTAAGAAAGCCGTTTTACGCAACGGAGAGAGTATCGCTATAGCATGAATGACCGTACGCATATATGCGAAAACGAAAGCGTTATAAATTATCTACTTGAAACGACAAGAAACGGTACACGTTGAACAGCTACTAGAAACTGTCAGTTTCAAAATCCAGCTGCTCTTTACGTAAATGTCATATCAATCCTGACTATGTTTGTCCACGCTAAACGCTCACTCGGTCATGGTCAAAGATTCGTTACGTGTGCATTGCAAAGTGCGCTGATATAACGGTTAAGCAACAGATGGAGCTAGATAAAATTTAAAAATCTGTTCGTCGAAGAAAAAACGCGATTAAGAAATAAAGCAAGGTGTATATCGAATAATATAGTTAAAAGTAAAGTGAACATTATTCCGTTTGAAAATAGAATTCATGCCTGATTTGTGTTTTTCGTTAAAAATAGAAAAGGTGTAGAAACCTTTAACGCCTGTTTTATGTTAAATATATAAACTGCCATATCAATCAGATATGCATGGCCTACATTCTTAAATATAATACGTGTCCGCGCACGTGTACGTAGGTGTAATCAGCGATTATTTAAGAGAGGAGTTTTTTGTGCCGTTATCAGACTCTGAGGACTCCCTTTTTCCGGAATTCGGGCAGTAGGTGTATATAGTGGGCGTTTCAAATGTGTTCTGCTTTCAACGAAGCGCACGCGCCTCTTTCGGTCAGCTGATTCCCTAGACCTACTTTTTGCCCGATGATGCAGGCTACAAATAGGTATAGATACGAACACGCGTGTACGTGTACACCTATGTCGTGTACTTCTGCTACCGTGTACGCGTGTGTACCTACATACTTTGGAACACTCTGTGTCCTAAATCATGCTCTTTGCTCGAGGCCATCCTCAACCACTTGAAAGACTCGAGTGTAAAATGTGATGTTGCTTCACAATCGCAAACTCGAAAAGATACCAATGTACTCGAAAAAATGTAAATGACGCTCGACAAAAGAAATGGGACGATTCTGAACGAAATTTTAATAGTTTTCTTTCAGACTCGCACTTTATTATATATAAATAATATGTCGTGATAAATCATGCACGATAAAACACTAGATTTTTACGCGAGCATCTGTACAATTATGTATCGAGATTGTAACTGTATACATGTTTGGAAGAGTCCAAGCGTTTCGAAGACCTATATTCGAGCAAATTTCATTTCTGTTCATACGTAATCGTTTGGCACGTTTTGTTATACTGACGTTACGCATCTTACTAGAAAGCGCGGCACTTTGGATTGTCACTGTCATCGTTTAGCGATATACCGCATAAAATGTATGTAAATCGCGAGAATTATATTTGAACGAAACGAAGGAATATAGTTAAATAAATGATCGTTCGACGTTTGCAATACGTACCTGTGTTAATTTTATTCAATTCCTAATCCCTCGCGAGGAGGTAATTACGAGACAACTTTACTTTGCTGCAAACCGATGTATACTGGTACGAAGCGCTTCGTATAGTGTTCTGCGGAGCACGACGACGAGGTGCATTCGTGCGACAAGTGACAGACTAGACGCAAAACAGAAAGAGAATAAGGGATAGAGAAGTAGAGGCTAGTTTCTTCTCACTCTGTTTTAAACGCTAGATGGAGAAGTGACTTCACGTCGACGCGATCGTTTCGACGATGAAGGGAATTGGTGGGGATGCTCGTCTTCGTGATTCTCTTCTGCAGCGCCGGCGCTGTAGCGCGCTGCATCGACCCATTCGCGCTTCTCTACCGATGTGCGTTCGCTTGAATGTATCTTTAGAGTAGCTATTTATTTTTCCGCTTTTACGCTCGATGTTAATATAGATTGCATCGTCTGATAACTTGTCGAAGCTTGCCTCACCTTTATACATTTTTCCGATACTAAACAACTATCCGTACATGTACGGACAAGTTCAATCTATATTTAACACGCGTCTTTATTTTAAAGATTTCGAACTGCCATTGTAATCATTTGCAAATCTTGTCTAATCAATAAAAACAACAATACAAAGTTATGCTTCAATATATTATTCAAATTGTTGACGCCTATTCACATCGCATAGAAATCTTATCTTATAAAGTACAGTGCAATAAAATGTAACATATAAAGTACTTTATCTTTAGTACCAGTTTCAATCGTATAACTACAGACTGTAAAACAACTTACCTTTCGCTGACGTACCATGTCGAAGATTGAGGGCTTTGCGAACTAAATACACTGTTTCGTAAGTCCGTGATATCGGTATTTGTCATTGATTTTGAACACGAAAACGAAACACCACTATCCGATGAATGCGGTGTATAACACTCTTTACTAGATGAAGGTATTTGCCAGGAATATCTGGCCTTGGTACACGGGCTGTTGGAACTGGGACTTGAACTTTGTGAACTTGAGATGCTTAACGGACTTTTCGGACTTTTCAGGCCACCAGAACTAAAAACGCGAACTAATCGAAGTCTTAAAGAATTCTCTTTGTTTTTCGTTGTAAGATTATTATCACCACTTGATACTTCACGTCTTTCGGAGGGATCAAACATTTCCATTGTAATATCAAACTTAAAATAATTCAACGAAAGTAATATCGCGAACTACAGCATTCAACTGCAGAAACTTGTGCCAGAAATGTGTATGAAAGTTCGAAAAAGGCGTTGTTTCCTGACAACTTTTGACCACATCCTTCCTTAGCCTTATCAAACTAATGTAAATACTAATCTGGGTGGGTACGATTGTAAGTATGGATTAAAAAATTTAAATAGTACAACCAAATGTTTTTATTAATTTAATTTATTTTACTTCCATTCGTTAATTCGAATAGAATCCATTATCTTCTTAAAACTTTAGCTATTGACACTATCTCCTCCTTTGTACAATTGAATGAACTAAATTGTTTAAGCATTTCAGTGTTTCATTGTCGATCGAATTTAAATTTAATGATTAGTGGGATGTATAGCTTTATTGCTTTTTGTACTTTGTTACTTAATTTTTTAGAAACTTGTCTTTCTCGTTAACACAGAAGAAACTGAGTATTACAAATTCATCGCCGAATCTGTATTTTTACATTCATGTGTTACAACTTAATAGTTTGTAGAACAAGTTGAATCACGTTTGATCACAAATAAATAATAGTGCATAGTCTACAAATGGCACAGCCATTGTGAGAGAGCACCGCAATATCTTTTATGATGAAGTAGAGTCAGTTCTAGCTGGTCCTAGCCTGACTCCTGTCAATGTACATAGTTACATGATATACCTACTTATAATTAACAACAACAATTTGCCACTATTCAGACTTTGCAAACACTTGAGTACCAGGTGGGGGAGAATCAATGAATGAGTCGAATGAGATGCAATCGGATATTCATGAGGTTTGAAACGATAATAGTACTAGTTTCCTCTGCAACATCCGTTCAACACGTCTAGCGTGTTTGCTCATCTTCGACAGGTATCAAATTTACTTTGATGCTTGTTCAATGTATGCAATCAAGTCAGCTCGTTCTTGTGGCTTCTTCAAACCAGCGAACACCATTTTTGTACCCGGAATGTACTTCTTTGGGTTTTCAAGGTATTCAAACAATGTATCCTTATTCCAAGTAATGCCTAGAAAAATAAATATTTATTTTCAATTTTGACAATGAAATTGTTATATTAAGGTGTGTTTCTTTAGAAAAAAAAAGAATTACCTTTTGCTTTGTTGGCATCTGTGTAGCTATAACCAGGAGCTTGACCAGTTTTCCTACCAATGATTCCATGTAAATTGGGTCCCACCTTGTGTTTGCCACCAGCTTCAATGGTATGACACTGTGAGCATCTTTGTACAAAAACCTAACAAGAAAAAGGTTATATTTAAAATATTATATTTGATATAAGATATAATTAAAAATTATATAATTCTTTATACATTATCTAATCGAAAAGTGTAAAAGAAATCACTAATTGAAATCAATAAATTGCATAAAACGATAAAATGACATTATCGACGAATCGTGAATCATGTCGCCTTATCGGATACACATATGCACAATCTACACGTACGTCACATAGTAAGAATTTCGCGCGCATTAATGGATTCTGATTTTAAACAATGAATATTTTGAAAGCACTCAAAACCCGATGAACAAATGAAAAACGAAAAAAAAAAGATATTTGAAGTTTATATTATTAATTCACCTTCTTTCCTTTCTCCGGATCACCAGCGGGAACTCCCATTTTTCCTTATTCTATAACAATATTGTTCGAAATATAAATTTGCATTATATTAAAAAATACATATATAAAAATATGTTTAATCTGTGATTTTTACAAGTAAATTAACATATCTAATTTATACTTCGTTACGTAAGCGCAAAGCACGTGAGCAAAAATTTTACGTTTCGTAATATCATTACACAAGAAATTTGCTTATATGCACGTGTGACAAATACATTTGTCAAATAAAAAGATAAAAATTAAATATAATTAAAAAATTACGGTATTACGTCAATAAATGTAATACTTTGTATCCTACGTTCTGCACGTGTCAAGTCGTGAATGACGTGTGAACGATAAAACAGTTCAATGATTAATAGCTAATAGTTGAATAATAAAGTAACGTAATGATTCTCGAAAAACAAAATGGTATTATAATTTTTATTATTACGTGAAATTAAAATGTAAATGCACTCAATTTTAAAACTGCTACAGTGACATTGATGTAATAATCATTTGTTCAAAAACTTAGCAAACCAAGATAATCAAATATAATACTACAGCATTAATTTTAGTCTAATCTAATCTATCAAAAGGTAATAATTTTATAAACCGATACTTCCGCATACCACTATTTGTCTACGGTACCTGTACAAGCCCATTTTCATTACAGTAAAAATCTCATTATTGAACTTCATTATTTAAAAGTAAATGACTCTTTAAACGTCATTAAATCTTTTCGAATGAGAGAATACAGAATGGAAAGATTCACAATACATTAGAAAATACGTACAAATCAAAAAAGGTGATAGATCACACGAGGAAAGGTCAAATACCATAGGAACATGATTTTTGATCTAATGCCATACGTGCAAAATTTTCTTTGATCGATACCAACGTTTCACGTGCGTATTAAAAAAATTTGCATTTGAAGCAAATGAGGAACTGAATTTTATATAAAAATTTGGGTATTTTTATTAATGAAAATGTAATAATAGAGCACTGGCTCAAGGATAGTTGCGTTATGTAACACTGATCATCTTATACTTATATTTTATTTAGCATCTAAAAGATTTAGCGGAAGTACTATGAGAAAAGCTTTGTTCCGTTAGTTATGGGTTCCCAACGTTCGTCACTCAATTGCACGTGCTATAAACGCGATGTACACGAAATTTCTAAATTGCACAATTTTTAATATTTATAAAACTGTTCAAATTTTTATAAAGATCAGAATAATTCAATGAAAACGACGAACACCTTAATAAAAAATTTGAATATTTTAAAAAAAAGAAGAAAATCGAACTTACTTTAACGTAACTCGCGCGAGCAGATTATTACAGACGACAGTAGTCTGACCGTGAATAGAAGCTTCGATCGATGAGTAACCACTGACTTCCTCTGAGGTTGAATTCAGGGTATTTTAATGGCTGATGCAATAGTTAATAAAACTAGGAAAGGTCCAGAGGGCGTATTAGTAGCGTATGTTACTAGTTTTGCGAGAGATTGCACCTGACAAATTGCGCACACAATAAACTAGGGAAATTTTCAAATACGAGGCTGAGACTTCTCTATAGCATACTTCTACCTTCGTGGTCATGCACATGATTTCGAAAAATACACAAACATCGAAAATATGTAATCGCGTGTTAAATGTACCATCAGGTTTCTTTTAAAAAAATAGCTACAAAGAAGAAATAGGTCATATCAAATTTAGAAACTTGTAAATATGGGAATTTGGAGGTTTGAAAACTTGAAAATTAGAAGATTTAGAAATTCGAAAGTCGGAAATGTTTCCCTTTAGTATACAAAATAAAAGAAATGTATTTAACCGTTTGGGACATTTACATATAACTGTATAAATACAGAAAAGAAAGACATTTCGCTTAATATTTAAAGTATACAGCGATCAAGAATTAGAAATCATGAGACTTTCTATTTGCTAAGTGTATAATTTTGACGATGCGATGGTAATAGGAAAGTGTATGTGTGGTCATAGATTATATAGTATTTAGAACTCTATACAGGAAATGCGCAGAACAAACGAAAATTCATTGTCTAGTTACTACAATAGGTATAAATTCTTTTTTATGATTGGTAGATACAAATAATAATTGAAATATAAAATTATACTACTAGCGTCTCTATCGTCAGAAGTAACGTATTATATTTGATTCGGACAGAACTATATTCTACCGACTTTCCCGTCTAGAAAGTTCTAAGAGAAATACAGCAATACTGACACTTTCAAGTTGTTTTAAACGTGAATGTGTGTACTAAAAGTTAGTTGATTCTTATTTCACTAAAACTGTAAATAATAAAGTCATGGTAAATGTTACAAAAGGAATTTTAGTCGAATGGTTTGTATATTTAACATTAAATAAAATAAGAATATTAACTACTCTCTATTCCTTATAATCTAAGTCATTTGGAATATTGAACTGTTTATTAAGAAACTCTTCAGATATATCAAACTTTCTTTTACACCAACTTTGTAGAGCAAAAATATTATCTGTCCATACATTAGTTGCATCCTTATATTCCTAGAAAATAATGAATATGAGTACTAATTCAAACTACAAGTTTTTAATAATTTTATACCTGTGCTTTTTGCGCAAGCTTGGCTATAGCTTCTGGATCAGCATCACTGAATTTAGCAATTTGTTTTTTTAATTGATCTTCCTTAACCTTCAATTCCTCTAGTTCTTGCAGTAAAGCTTGCCGTTCCTCTGTATTTTCTTTTCCTATCTATATTTATTTAAACACAACATTATAACCTTTAGAGTAATATACTTTTGGATTAACTTTACAATAAAATTTTTTATTACCTGTTCTTTGGCACAAATTTCTTTTAGTTTTTGAAGTTTAAATTCTGCCTCTACAATCTTTTTGGAAGCCTCAGATATTCTTTGTTCTATTGCAGTAATATTTTCTCTATGTAATGTATTTATTCATTTATTATTAGTCATTTATGATATATTTAAGTACAATTATATATTTTATTTTTACCCTGGAAAAGTCCAGAAATATACTGAAGTGCCAATTTTTTCTGATCTAACTAATCCATCATCTACTAATGCCTGAAGTACATCTTTCACAGATTGTACTACAATCCCTTTTTCTTTTGGAGCAATCTTTTCTAATTCTTTCAAAGTAAAAAATTCTTTCTTTTCATAAAATATTTGAAGCATTCTTGCACGCTTTTCATCAAGAGAAACTCCTTTTCGTTTTGACATTTTGGAAAACTAACTGTAACCAAGTAATAAACTTACATTATTTATTTATTATGTTTACAGTGATGCAGCTATGAAGCAGTTTCTTTTGCACTTGGATGAGACTTTTGCATTAGGACGAAAATTTATTATCCAAGACTTGGATGAAAGACACCTATTTATATCTGTTGATATTTTAGATACATTACAAGCAAAAGTAGATGATCTTATGGATCAAATATCATTCCCTTTAGCAGAGAAAGGAATATAAATAATTATTATAAAATTCGTTTATCTATAAATTGTTATGAAGAAATTTTAAAAAATATAAATTATTAGAAAATAAGTAAAAATGGCTGCCCGAGAGTCTGGTAGAGTAAAAGATGCGTATCAAAAAAGGGTGCTTGATGAAGCTGCCCGTAAACGTAGACAAAAGAAAGCATTGGAAGCTCTGGAACAAGATAATTTTCATGATGATCCCCATGCAGATTTAGGTAAATATTTTGTGAAGATATAAAATTTTATTCATATGCTATTATATAATATTTTAAAATGTATAATTATTGTTCTAGTAATGAGTAAAAAAGTTCCAAAATTTCAAGAAACTTTGGATAACAGAGGTGGCAGAAGGAAAAAGACTAGATCAGCAGAATATTATAAACAACGTTTTCGTAAAACTTTTGCTCAATTAGTGGAAGAAGATCTTAATGTCAACCCAAATCCTCCCAATTATGCATCTGCTCAAGCACCCCCCTCACGTTTTCCCGAAAGACAATTTTGTGCAGTTTGTGGCTTCCCTAGTAATTATACATGTATCCCCTGTGGTGCTAGGTATTGCAGTATGAAATGTTTAGGTACTCATCTTGACACAAGATGTTTAAAATGGACAGCTTAAGTATAATAAGTATATGAGTTAAGTGTTATGGATATTGTAAATAATATCAATGGTTTAGTACATAATATATAGTCTAGCTTCAGTGTTCTCAAGAAAAACAGATATAAGAATAAAAATAAGAATAAGAGATTTAGTGGTATTTCATACCATATTAAATGACTACTTGTTGCATTGTATGTATTGTTTTATACATGGATTAATGGATTAAAACTTAGTAATAGACAAAAATATTATATTTATGCACTAAGCCATTGATTTGTTGTTATAAATAAATGCCTAATATATCATAAAAGAAAAATATTCAAAACTTGCTTTTTCGCATAAATAATTGGAAAAATATATTTTTTTCATTGTAAATAAATACATGTCTGTTTATAAAAATAAACTTTTATACTTTTAAACCTGAAAATAACATTTGATCTTTTTAGTACATTACATTTCCTAATAACGAATATTGTAATAATGACACGTCACCGCGTTTTTTTTTAATTTATTAGTATTTACTGTAAAATGTAACAAATGAAAAAAATGACAAGGACATAAGTTTGTATATTAAACATTTAATTGTTAACTAATTTAAGGCATATCTATTATATTATGAACCTTGTATTACGAGAAAATCATAAATATTTCAAGTATAATCGATCAAAAAAGAATACTTCGTAAAATTTTATTTGTTCTTTTTAGTTTATATGACGCATATTTTTACTTTGACAACGTAAGATTAAGAAAACACAGTGAATACTGCAATACATACCATTAAAGTAACACCCACTTTCCGTGAAAACAGTTAGGTTACCTAAATAATAAAATTTAAAAAAAACTCGAAAGAACAATCAACAAAAAAGTACACTTTTGACTGATGAAGTAAAGCATGCCAAGTTGTAGAACAAGGCGGGAATGATTTTCATCTCCCAAAACAATAGCCCTCTAGTGGTGCATAAATGAACTGTTGCATTGTGACGAAAAAGAGTAATAAGAATACGTAGGCATAGGTAGAAGGACGGTTAATAGAAAGACGTGTGTACATTTGTAATAATGTGAGGTTTAAAAATCTGAATGTAACCTTCTTCCGCCTAATGTAAGGACGGATTTGAATAAAATCATTCACGTGAAAGTGTTACACATTCAAGCACACTATATCGTGCTATTGTGGGTTTGGTTACCGTTTAGGTTATAATAATACATAGACATGTCATAGATGTAACAATTGTAAAAGAAGAGTGGCTAATAAATTATTCTTCTGTTATTTCCAATAAATGTACGTATACCTCATACGAGTTGTATTTTATCATTTTTTCGTTTGTTCAAAATGTCGATTCCTGAAAAACGAATGTTCTCGCATTAATTAACGCGTGTACACATTTCTACGTTGCAGCTGTAGCTAAACAGAACAAAGAATCGCTTTCGTTTTAATTCATTTAGACAAATACAATTGTTGCCGTTGCATTTTCAAAACATCACGATTTGTTGATAAAAGTGTGAATTTAGTTCATCCCATTCTCGCGGACCTGTTCTGCTATCTAGCGGGATAATCGAGTATTTCGTTAGAACATTTGAAAATTTCCGCGGGAAGTGTGTGTTCCGATTTTCGAACACTTCGAAGTGCATTGACAGATTATAGACACGTCAGTCAGTGATGTGCGCTTACCTGTTATACAATCGGTACAAATATTGCTGATGTTCGAGTGAAAAGGAATGATCAAAGGTAACGATTACTTCAAAATTGTAACGATCATAGTATCAACGCAATATTGTGATATAATTTAGCATTAGCAATTTTGAAACTTCGGTATTAAAAACATGTGCATGAATTTATTTTTAATACAATTAATTAGAAAACCCTTCAACGGTATAAAAATTAATTCGTACAAAAAATAAAATAAAATTATTAAAACGTTGTTGGAATTATTACATATAAAATAATAGGAAGCTTTGAGGTTTTGTGCGATTACTATTTAAAATAATGCAGGATGGTCACTCTCAATGTTTCTTAATTCCTCCGCATGAGGTCCCTAAAATCAGTTCGGACTTGGACCACTGTATTCCCGTATACCCTTGATTGACCTTGTAAAAGTAGAAACGAGAAGTATCATAATCCTGGAATGGATAGAGTAATGTAGTTAACCTTGAAATTTGTTCATAAGAAGATTAATGATTTTGAAATTTTAAACACGTTTTCCTTGAAATTTTATTTTTCAAACTCGTTATTTTTTACCGAATCAACGTTTATTCTAATACCTTCAGTTTTAGAAATTTATGACTAATAGTATCATGTACAATTTTTCCGAAAATTTTCTTTTATAGAAATTTCAGAACTTTCAGAGTTGCCGAAAATTATTATAACTAAATTTTGGAAATTTCAACTTTTTGTTAATATCACTAAATTCTGAAGAAACAGTTACTGAAACCATTACTGACACTGCTTACACAATTATTAACACAATCCAAAGAACAATTGAAATGATTTGTTTCAGATTTGTTGGTACTATAGTTCCTTATAAACAATGTACATTCGATATTTAACTAATAATAAAAAGTTAGCTCATGAGTAGAACACGCATGCAGTAAGATGTTCAGCACGCTCAGCTCATCAACTGAAATTTGTCTTTATAGACGGAATAAGAGAGCTGAAAGTAAATCAAATAATCTTCCATGTGTAATCGTCGGTGGCGAAGGTGGATTTTATAGCGAAGATAAGATCTTTGCGAATCGTGCAACGCTCTTTAATTGCAGAAGTAATTAACGCGTGCCGCTCAGTGCAACAACAATGACGACCGTGGACTCTCAGGCCGATAAAGCTTTGTGTCATGTTGATAAGCTTGCGAACATCGAGGTAGCTGAAATTCCGTCCGATCGAGGACTTCCTGCTGGAATAAGTCCTTTGGAATCCCGGGTGTCTGGGCACACGTTCGACGATGAACGTCAGACGATCGGTAAGTACTCGACCAAATTGAATCTGGGGAATGTGAACAGTTATAACAAAACTGTATTTGAATATTTAATAAAAAAATTGAAACCAACGTTTTAATGCAATTGATGTCTTATGGTAACTATTAAATTAACTTATTCTTTTTGTTTGTCCACACTTACTGTGATAGAAAAGTGAAAGTGAAACGATTTGAATTCTTTTTGATTCAATGTAATATTTAAATATTTATATATGTACGCATGACAAAATTATAATCGGGTTGAATTTTAATTTTACCATGAATTAAATATAAATGTCAGTTACCTATGAAGAAATTTTATGTAATAGTTATAGAAAATAACTAAAATTTCAGTAAATAGATATCTAACAGACACCGTATGTATTCGTAGTAACAATATATTTTGAAAGAATAAAAAAATCTTCATTATATAAGCACGAGTTCGAAAAAGCTTTAGATAAATTTTGATAAAAGACTACTGTAATGTCGTTGATTGTTTTCTTTCTAAATTTTGTGTTACTCTTCTTTTAATTATTACCGAGTCACTTTCAGCGATTGTAAATAGAAATCACGCTTCTTAACTTAATGTTTTTGTAAATAATACATTTTCGTGTGCATAATATTAGTTGCGATTATGTACGTTTTTACAGAATCAGTTAAACGACTATTCATTATTATATTTCATTCTTGAATGAAGTCAATTACGATTGAAACAAATTACCATACGAAACAAATGCAATGTCTCCATTAAAATTGGTAACACAAAGTTTCTTATCAGAGAAACTTACTCGAGTATACTAAAAAAATATTTAAAGCATTAGTCTAACATTTAGAACACGAAAAGAATAGTTTAAAATTGTTGCTCTTTCTGTCCATTACCCGATGATTAATAAAATAATTTTTTAACAATGTTTCATTTTTTTCTTCGACTCGATAGCAAGTTTAATTTGTTCACCTACTAATTGCTCAGTTTAAGGTCACGTCTGTGCTATGTACGAACTGCTGACTAATAGTAAACTTAGTTCGAGTACACAAATTAGTTAAACATCCTCGATACAATGCATACACAGCATATATTTTGCCATAAATGTTTGGTAAATCATTTATTCACCTATGTTCACATAACAATTTCCTGTTACTTTTATTCGTTGATCAAATTAGCTTAATTCGTTTACTACATTGTTGTATATCAAATGTCGGATCTTGAAACGTGTAGGTTTGATTTAATAACACAAAATTATTACAGATTTATGGTACATCATTTTAAAATTTAAGGTTTGGTCAAAATAATTACATAAATGTTTAGAAAATAATTACATTTTTAATATTAAATATGTAGTTCTTTTATGAAATTTGGTACCTATGGTTTCTTTATTTTTAAGGTATTTGAAAAAAATGTTCGATCCCTGCAATTTTTTCTTACACCTTAATATTTATTCAGTGCATAGGAAACAGTTATTTTTATGTTCAATAATTAATATCATAATTGTTTGTTTAACTGTTGCAGGCATGTTACGGGGGTCAGATGGACGTGTATTTAAACCCGTCGTGAAACCACTGCTTGGCAAAAGAGAAATTACTTTCTATGAAAATTTACAAGTATCCCAAGACCCTGTGATGCTACAGCTGAAGAATTATGTTCCGAAATATTATGGCACGACAGATTTACAAGTCTTTGGCAGACGTAAGTTCAAGCTTATTTCTAATAAAAATTTTATTTCTTACACTTTATAGTCTTGCTCCGATTTTTCCTCTTTTATACTCGCTGTAAAATGAAAATATATTGCTTCGAATGTATTAAATGAGCAACGTTATGGAAACCATTAAAAATAAAACATGTAATTCCGTTTATTGTTAAAGATGAATAATGCAAAATATTTCCAAATAAACATATTACTATAATAAACAGAGTCAATGAAAAAATGAATGTTATACTTTATTTTTTATCCCTTATTATGATAAGAATTCTTTGGATTATGATAATTGTAGAGACTCCAAATCTTCAAGATAATTTTTTAATGTATGTTTGTATTTCGAATGGTTATTCGAAATAGATCCAATAACCTATTTTGCTTATGTTTTCCCCTGTATAATCATGCACACTTAAAGTGTTAATTCTTATCAAGCTGATCGTTGCTAAACAATATTATTATTTGCTTTCTTATTTCAGAAATAACATTCCTCATGCTGAAAGACATTACCGATGGTATGGCGGAGCCGTGCGTGATGGACATAAAGATTGGCAGACGAACATGGGACCCCTTAGCCACTCCTGAGAAGAGAGCAACGGAAGAATTAAAGTATGCCGAGTCAAAACGCACTTACGGATTCTGTATAACTGGCTTTCAAACTTACTGCGCCTCTTCCGGACAGTTAAGAAAGTTCGGCAAACATTATGGCAAGACTCTCGATGCCAAAGGTGTCGTGGAAGGTATATTATCAACTTCAATCATTTTAAAAAATCACATTATCGCACAGAGCAGACACACCAGCTATCGTTCATATTTCTAATCGTCGAGCGTTTCTTTGATGTTCCGTTAGCCATGTAAATTAGCGATATAAAATGTCACAGTTGGGTCGTACGCGGAACGGTCGTAACGAATTGCTGGAAGAATCTCCGAGAACACATTAAAAATTACATAATCTGTGTTTCTTCTTCTCTTTTCTTTCTTTCATTCTTTTCATATACTGCAAACAGTGCCTTTTCTTTCCTGCGCAGCGCTGAAAATCTTCCTGAATATAAGTCCAGAAAGACCGCCCTGTCGTCAATTGATTGTGAAGCTTCTCTCTTTCTTGTGGAAGATCTTACTGTTCTTTCGTACGCAGCGGTTGTTCCGCTTTTATTCTAGTTCCCTCTTGGTCGCATACGACGCGAAAAGGCTGCGACATTATTTACGCCTGCGTAACACGAAGCCCGATAGATCGTCCGGCCATATAGCGAAAACATTTTCTCCTTCGAACAGTCGCACATCCACGTCGAGTGTGTTCAACGTCCGCGTGAACGACATGACCGGCAACTCGATTATAAGCAGCGAAACCAGCAGAAATCGAACGACGGAGAGGGTGCATTTTATTAAAAGAAGCATCAGTCTGAGCAGCGAGTACGACACGATGGGAAAGAACAAAACCTTGAACAGAAGCGGATCGTCTAGTCCGGATTTCAGTGTGGGCAGACTTTGCCGCACCCATTCTTACGTGAACAATTTCGACGACGATATTGTTAAAATGAAAGAAGACTACGATGATCTGTTAAACGAACTTACCAGTTCCTCGGAAGAGAAGCAGAATTGGGTTAGAATCAATATGATCGATTTCACGCACGTCTTCCCGCCGGAGGATCCAACCGCTTTGGATTTGAATTATTTGGAGGGCATCGAAAATCTGATCAAACTGGTGGAAATGTTCTTGGTATCCAAGGATCACGCTGTATGAACTGTATCGTAACGTAGGACGTTGTTGTTATACATTTCCTTTCGTGCAATCGTATTTGATATTCTTTAACGAAGTTAGAGTATTTTTTGACGTTAGGATTAGGAGCTGCAAGCTGGAAGTAACTTTGTGATTCAAGCACGAGAACAGAAATATTTCGTGAAAGCTTGTAGCATGTAATGCAGTCGACGAGTAAAATGCTTATCGTTGTTCTGTAGCTTTCACGGAACGTTTCTGATGTCTGTAGTTAGCACAATGATTCAGAAGCACTAAAAAACTGAACGTTAAATTGTACCGCACCAGATGTAACCATCTGTAATGATCACACTTTTTTAGTACACATCATCTGTCGCTGTTCCACATTGCTGAAAAACTCGTACTCGTTTTGATTTACATTCACAGGCATCGACTACGTGTATTCGTCTTTCGCACGACTGTAGCAATCATCGGTTCGTGTCATTTTCTTTATTATGTTCTTGTACAAACGAGATTCTATAATTGCACTTACTAACTATGAAAATTGTTATGTTGTTATGGTACAGAAAAAATAAAACAGTTAATCTAAAAGCGAATTGTCTTACTTTCTTTAATAAAAATGTCTGTAAATGAAAATAGATGTAGATGGTTTGGCTGAAGTACTCATCAGATCTGAGTGGTAAAGTTACAGAAAATTTGTTAGGACATCTGAAGATTTTCAAGATGTTTCAACCTGGATGAGAAGTATAGTTGCACATTTTTTGGAGGAAGATAACGCAAATGAGAGACGCAACAAGGCAAGTTTTTATGTAAGTTGTCAGAAATATGGAGGATGATTTTTGAACGCAGTACTTCACCCAACGTTGCCATGGATTTCTGACGCTATAAATTATGGCTGTAACGAAACGCTCACGGAACTGCAGTCCCGATAAATTCGTGATGATTATTAGTGGCTGAACAGAGAAAGCCTTCGAGGGTAGATCGGTACCTAACGCAATTACCGCGTAGCACGATTAATGGCGAACGGTTCTGCTAATCAACCCGCAAACGCGATTACCAAGGTTCAAATTGAATTACGCGTTCTGAATAGCGCGAAAGTCTCTGATATTCAATGCGTGACAGAAACGATCACAGAGCAGAGAAATTCGTTTGTGTCACATCGTGTGACGTAGGGAGAAGGAAATAGCTTTTTGCTCAATAATAGCTGCAGCAGTAATACCATTAATGGCAGTAATGATAGCAAAAAAATTAATATTTATTTTACTAGTAATATTAATATGCATTGTAATAGCAGTGACAGTAACATTAATGACAAATGAGACGAAGAGCTAAAATTTACTTTCCGGTTATTTTAGTTAACAGGGTAAGAATTTCATTCGGATAAAATTTTTTCGAATTCCCATCACCAACATGTCTAAAATACTAGTATATAAAAATTGTTAAATTACTATAAAATTTTATTACATCAGAATTAACCAGTAATATACATTTTCTTCATTTTTATTGTATTTTCCTTGTATTATTTTTTCAACAAAAAAGGAACTCTTTACATTCCTTCGAATTACATTTCGAATTGCATGTTATTGCATTCGAATTTCGAGCGATTCAAACCAATTTAGTAAAACTTGTTTGCCACAGAAGCGCACGTGGCGTGCCGTCGATAAGACCGGCGTTCCGTTAATATCATTTATATGAAAACGAAATCAGGAAAGCCACGAGCCTTCGTTTGATTTCGTTCTCGTGAAAATTTTACGCGATGGCAATCGTGTGTACCGCGATAAAGATTAGTCTGGCAACGAGTTTTGCCCGGTTCGCCACGATGGAGTCCACGCGATAAATTTAGTACTCCGATTGCGGAAATAGAAGAATAGAGAACGCGTGCTGCCATTTAAATTCCGCGGTTGTTAACCGCACGAGAACGCGAACTCCTTTCCTCTCGGGTTAATTCCATCGGGATAACCCGGCTAAAAAGTTTTCTGCCGCGTCTCTCCGCCGATTTGCATCAGGTTTTACATACTGCGATTATGAACCATACGTTTTGCATTCCTCGTATCAAACTTTCGTATATTTTTTGTTCTCGAACTTCCATTGCGGATATGTTCAAACAACATTTGATTGACTCACCAGTTTCAAACTTTTTTTAACCTGATTTTTTAACCTGATATGTTAAAATATTAGGTGGGTAGCAAATCGAATTTGTTTTTTATAACTTTGTTTATTTTAATACTATGTTCAGAAACTAGCATCCTTAAAACACTTGTTACTCGATTAGTTGAATCTTAAAACACTTTTTAAGAATTAAATTCTTCCATTTTTGATCGTGTTACGTTTTCAGGATGATATGTGACAGTAATGCTTTATAGTATATTGTATTTTATATCACGTTGTATTTTTTCTCTTCGTCACGTTTTTAATATTAAACTATATCGCGTTGACTAGTGAAGTACTTAAAAATTTGATCAGGTAGTATTTTTATTTTTTTTATAAATCTTCATGGTACATTTCCACAATATTTTGTTATATTTATTATTTACAGTTTCAAGTAGTTAATACTAGTATTTATGTACAATATTATTGTACATAAGTGAACAAATTTTCAACTATATGGTATTTTAACCGATGTGACTGAACGGTGGTATATTTATTTGAAAAAAAATTATTAGTAATTTTTCATTATTTAAAATGTTTTTACAAAACTGATAAAGTTAGATTAAAATATTATTTTACAATTGAATAACACTTGGGAAGAAACGAGAAATTGAACATCAGCTTGTTTTGACTCCATTTGGTTAAAATAAATGAAAGCAGTGAGATAATGTTAGTTTTGATGGGTCATTTAATAAACATGGAACAATAGGCCGGAAAGCCACATGCATTCATAATTAAAGCGTTTTATAAAAATGGCGATTCTGTCACTGCCGCGCCGCGTTCATTTCGTATTCATTTTAATATTTCATGGTTTTAATATGACCGCGTGTGGTTTCTTTGTATGGAGATATGAGTTTAAAGAGTAAACTTTTAAATACCGGCTACGCAACATTCCACAATTTCAAATAAAAATTAAAAGGGACGTAGACAGTGTTGTGAAAAAATACCTACCTTTATAATGTAACGTTCTATAAATAAAGCAGTCTCCATTAACAGTCTTAATTTAAATTAAACAGTTGTTACATATATAATTAATTGTAACTAGACTGGAAATATTAAATTAAATTTAAATAAGATAATTTAAGATATTTCTGGAGATAATGTGGAAATATAACAATTTGAGTAACACAGGAATTTTGAAATATATTATAAAACAAATTGCAAAATATAGAGATGTGAGGAATAGACAATTTGAGAATATAAAAATTTATACGTATAAAATTTGAAGATAATAAAGCTGTGAAATTATACAGGGTGTCTCACAACTACTGCAGATCCTTGAAATGGGAGGTAGATGACGTGATTCTGAATAAGATTTCCCTTTGCAAAAATGGGGTTTGAAGCTTCGTTTTTGAATTATTAAGGAAAAACGCGGACCAATCAGAGTGCGAGGACTACGCGTACGCAGACGCGAGAGCGATAGCTTCAAACCTAGAAAAGGCATTTGTTCATGATCGCGCTCAGCTGTATGTTCGAAGCTATCACTCTCCCGTGTTTTTCCTTTTTAATTCAAAAACGAAGCTTCAAACCCCATTTTTGCAAAGGGAAATCTTGTTCAGAATTATGTCAGCTACCCCTTACTTCAAGGACCTACACTAATTGTGAGACACCCTGTAGAAACCTAGAAAATATAAGGAGTTCGAGATAGAAAAATTTGAGGACATAGATTTGTCTTGTCATACTAAATAAATATACCTGATCACTATTTACATACTTCTTACATGAGTACACCAAGCTATTCAAGTATAATCATGTTTGAATATTAACGCAAAGTATAGCTAAATGAAACACCCTATATCCCCTCAAATTTATTCCCGTATTTGACTCCGCTTCAAACAAAGCCCTCATCCGAATTTTCATATATACGAGCCCAATCTT